GTTCTATATTGCCACAGCAAGGGGCACAATTACTTATAGACAAGCAGTGAAATTGGCTAGCTGAGGTTACCCATACTTCCCATCATTTTAACTTACTGGCAATAGCCGTTATGCATGTATCCCGGCACCTTTTAATATTTTTTACTAGCAGCATCCACCTCTCAATAATTCCATTATGGCAACAAAATTAGCGCCAATCTGTTAAGCATATCCTACTGTATGGTCGACAAGCACGAGAAGTACGATTTCCACTTCTTTAATGAAAAATTTTCAGAATTTCATTAGAAAAAAAGTCGAAAGACTCAAATATTTTAAATGTTTGATTGGCACATTACTAGAAAATTCTGTGTCGAATCGCTTACTGAATCGTTAAGGTGTCAAAGGTCGCCGCGTTGCCCAACGAAAGCATTGCTGCATCTCCGGTAAAATCTGAAGCGGATGCGGCCACTTTCACTGATGACGAGCCTATTTTTCCCCGCTTAGCAGACTGCCAGGAGTCCATAGGAAGAATAGTCGGGAGACTGCTACCATTATCCTCCACTAATGGGTCAGTTTTTCCCTGCCGTGTCGTTGTTTTCAGATCTGAAAGATATGAATGAAATGATCTTTCCAAGGATTTCTGGATATATCGATAGAGCTTCAAACGCTGATTGTAAAATGGAAACTAAAACTGCAAAATGAACCTGCCAAGGAAGTTGTGAGCAGTCAAAGTTGGCTGGAAGTAAAGCATTACATATGAACCGTGCTAGCCTCCGGGCTTTCAAAGTCGCCGTGGAGTAGTGGTAGTGCTCTCAAAATTTGCACTCCAACAGGAGGAGAACAGTTAGCCCTCCGGCTGGAGAGCGAGAGCACTACCACCAGCGACTCTGAATTCGGCACGTTCATATAAGACACTTCAATTCCAGCCGACTTTGACTGCTCACAACTTCCTTGGCAGGTTCATTTTGCAGTTTTAGTTTCCATATTTGTAATCAGCGTTTGAAGCTCTATCGATATATCTGGGTTATGATTCAAAGTTCCATGGGAACTTGAATGCCTTTCCTGGTTAGTAGTGGAAAGCTTCTAATAACATTCATAGTAAGTTGCTTCTCCATTTCAGTGCAATTGCTGCGCGTAAATCACTGGAAGCACAAGGCATAGTGAAGATTTGCGATCTTGCGTCCAAGTCTCGGCGTGAGGTGTCGCTGCTGAATATCAAAAAACCACGCATCGAAACTGCTTTACGAACACTTTCACAGTTTGCCCGTGACCACTTCAAGGCAGAAACATCACCCATAAAAGTGATTTCTGAGGTGAGCTTTTTCTTCTTCTGTTTTTGGTTTTTATGCACACTATGATGTTTATCTAAGATCGAAAAATAGGCGCTATAGCAATATTCGTGGTCATTTCGCTTTGAGCACTTGTCTATGTTTTGCTACGTGTCTAAAAGTATACATGCTAAGGCTGGACTGTTAATGGGGTGTTCGTTGGCGATCGTACGTGCGATTAGGCGATTAGTCTATAATGAAAAATATACGTATAGATTAGGCGATTAGGCGAGTAGGCGATTAGGCGGGGAAGACTACATACGTATTGATTGGTTTGCTCCGCCCATAGAGCGTTGTAGGCGAGTAGGCGATTAGGCGATTAGGCGATCGCTCAATGGGCGGAGCAACAAATCAATACGTATCCTTCTCTTATCGCCTACTCGCCTACTCGCCTAATCGCCTAAACACGTACGATCGCCAACTATGAACACTTCATAATGGAAGGAAAGAGAAGAGATTTTAAGGCGCTATCCCAAGATTAGCCGTCACTGTGGTGGCAGTGCACCTCAAACTACATAACACATCTCTGTTCTGCTTTCTTCTTAATGGGACTATGTGGAGAATAAGAGCCTCGATTGCGTGAACAATTCTTTTAATTCCCTGATGTTCTGGCCCCCTCCTGGGCTTAGCCAGAGTCAACCCTGCGTTGCGCAGTTTTCAACGGCCACGTTGCGCAGTTTCGCCCGATTAGACACGTTCTCTCGCGCGAACATTCACACTCGCATGCTCGAGCCGTCTGTGTCTCCGCCCATACAGCGTGCGTTGAGGATCTCTCAACGTGCCGTTGCGAACTGCGCAACGCAGGGTTGACTCTGGCTTTAGCGCTAGTCGCAGGGGCCGCCTCGGTATCTTGCATAGCGCCTAGAAGGATCAAATGTTCCAAAATCAGCAAAAAAAATCAGCGGAATGTGTAAGGATGAACCCGGTGGTAATGGCTAGATTATACACGTTTGGACGCGTTTTAAGACTCAAACAAGTATTGACAAGTATGTAACCACGGCTTGACCAAAATTCACATGTTCATATAAAATGCTTCCCTATATTGCAACAGCGGCAAAATTATTAGTGATTTTGATAAATATAATCATCGTTGTCTATAAAAATAATCGATTCAGTCGACACAGGAGTCATTGCTGGAACCTGTGGAGGTACAAGAGGACGTTGTTCTGGAAGCTCTCGAACAGTCTGGCACCGCAACATCATAGCAGTGTGATATCCGGCAAGCAGTGAAGTGTAATTGTGCTTCGCCTTCCATCTGAATAGTACACTTGGTAAGCTTGCCTTTCAGCAGAATTAGAGGTCGGTGGAAGTAACAAGATGAATCCGGTGGAAAGTCACTCGGTGTCTGAAGAGTCTGTGGAGCATGAGTACCTCGCTGAAGTGAACACTATCGAAATGAGAAGCTGAATATGCTTCGAGCCTCATGAAAAGACAGCGTTTTGTTTGAAAGCAGGTGAGCTTCCCTCATTCTGCTAATTCGATCTAACAGCCCTGGCTAATTAAATGGCATCTAACAATGGATTACGGCTGATCAATACCTTCAGTGGATAGGAGCGAGTCATCCAGAAGTTCGTAAATGTGGTACAAGTG